ATAATTTTTTTTTTTCGGGCTTTCAGTGACATGAAGAACTTGATTGGTGAGGCCTCATGCTTGATTTGCCAAGAAAGCTTTAGCACCAACGTGACAGGTACATGCCACTTGTTTCTCTCATCAATAAAATGCAGTTGCTTAACGAGCAATTTAGGTAGAAAGTATTTGAATCATACGAACATTTACTGGTTTGTTTCTTGGTAAATGATCACTGGCCTCCATTGTTTTCCTTTTCTTTTAATGATGTGAACTAACCTCTGTTTCATATTTTATTTGTGCAGCTTTGACTGAGCCAATAGACATGTAAGAGACTGAATTGTAAAAAAGTTTAATTTTCATCCTTACTATTTCTTTCCCCTTCAACTTTTTTTTTTTTTTTTCTACAGATATAGTGAATGGATTGACGAATGTGAACGAGTCAATAACCAGGAAGATGACGACTCTTAGAGACCAGTCCAAGCTTATTACTAGCTTCGAAAGCTTGATAATTTAAGACATGGTTAAGTGTTTAGATATTTCTAGACTCAAAAATCAACAACTCATGTCTTGGACAAGCTAATTGTGTATGTATATACATATTATGTCGTGCTAAAGTACTAACGCCTGCACCATTGTTCCGTATGAGAAAGTGTGGTGCAGTTGCAGTGTTGTAATAAGAGAATTTGCCTTGATGGATTATATATTCCTGTTTCGACACAAGTGGAACTGTTTTTCTCATGGTTTTGTTGTATGTTGCTCAGCATAATGCGAATAAACTAGAGAAATATGAGTTTTTTCATATGACGTTACCATATAGTTACTCATGTGCTAAGTATAATCGACGGATGCTCCTATTACACTCGTAGTCTCTGAAGGATGAGAACCAACTATGTAGCATCTACATCGAGAATTTAAGTATTGGATACGTCATTAGTCCGATCCTTTGTAGGAACTACCCGTAATAACGAACTTGCAAAATGGATCTGTACAACTAGTCCCCATGTTCCTCGAATGGATCTCTTAGTTGTTCAGAAGGTTGCCCAAAAGCGGTATATAAGGCGTACCCGGTAAAATGCAGAGAGCTGTGTATAAGGCCAAAAGTGAATAGACTTTTTTCCATACCTAACCCCTTAGTAAAAAGAGTTTCTAGGCCCTTAGGAAGAAGATAGTTAGGAGTAGTTCATAGGCCTCAAAGTGCACCCGCATGTCTCTTTTTAGATAGTTCACCTGGAGAATGGGTTGAGTAAACTTTCTTAGGGCCGATTAAATCACCCATTGGACCATTTGTATCTATATGCATCAGGATCCCGATTCATGGATCTCTCGGTTCGGGAAATCAATCAAGAGTTGTTATTCAAAATGGGATTCACGAACACAAGCCGATATGTTTATGAACCAAATCTTTCGATATGTTTATGAACCAAATCTTTTCGGCTCATCTAAGGGAACTTGTTCATTAATCGACTTGAGTTAAGTTTATATACAAATTACCTTTTATTTTATTTATTTCTTTTAATTGTTTTATAAGCATTGCATGAAATAGACTAATCCGAGCAGGATTCAACTCATTTATCAATAAACACGAGTTAGGATTCGACTCATTTATTAATAAACACGAGTTATTCGGCTCAACTTAACTCGAATAACAATATATCATCGATGTTAACTAAATCATTGATCTTTTTGCTTGGCTAGCTCGAATAACACCATAAAGTGATTCCTCGTTTGTTCCGGCTTACAAACAAACGGGTTTGGTTTGCTCTTCGGGCCTGTCTAGAGCCTGCACAAGGATAATAGAGAATGATCTTATGGGCCTACATTATAATTGGGCCTTACTAACCGGAAATCCGTCGACCGCCTATAGGGGCGTGTTTTGGGGGTTTAAGCTCTGCACGCATAAACCACAAATATAGGTAACCTTAGGAAATTTGCAGTCTCTGTTCCATCCCTTTGTCAGCTTTCTCTGCGCACTGTGAGAAATAGTTTCAGTAAATCAGAAGAATTGGAGCTGTAAATGGGCCGACCGCCGAGCAATGGCGCCCCTTCTTTCCGCTTTAACCCTGTCGAGGTTAAAACTCTCTATAAATCATGAATGGCATGGCTTACGAAATGGTTTCTATCGATTGTGTTTCTGTGAATTTTGGTCGTTTTTTGTTTATAGGGTATTAGAGTTGCCTAATTTATGCATGATTCATCTTCGCAGTTCGCTTTGAACTTCCATGGCTGCTTAATGGCGTTCATAATTCAAACTGCATTTGGCATTCGTCTATTTGAGATGAATTTTGATGCTATCTGATGCCAAAAGTAGACATGTTGATCGATTCTGGTGAATCTATTTTCAACAATTTTGGGGAAAATTTTGATAAATAACGTTAAAGTTAGAGACTGAGTTGTCAATGTCGAAAAGTCCTTTTTTTTTTTTAGTATCTGGCTTTCTGCATTGGTTTTTTGCTCTGAGAAATTAGTCTTCTTCTTGTTTCTTCTATTTATGTATATGTTATTAATTTTCGTTATCTTGAAAGTTTGCGGAAATGGAGGCCACTCTACAAGCGCACAATTGCTCGGTGCCGGGACGTGAAATCATCGAGGCTCTTGCTCAGAAATTTAGGTGACAAGTTGAATTAAGTTCTCCAATCTTAATTTACTTCAAATCAAGATTTCACCTCATGATTATTTACTGTGGTTTCATGTTCATGTAGTGCCACAGCTGAAAGAGCAGGAAAGGTGGAAGTTTCATCTAAACAAGTAATGTGCCGCTCTGCTGTGTTCTTATGTTTTGTTCGCTCATTACCATACCATCAGAACAAGTATCAATATATTTCAATATATACAAACAGGTTTTAAACTGGTTCCAAAATAGACGATATGCCCTCAGAACAAAAGCGGCTAAAGCTGTTCCTCCTAATGAGGCAAATATATCTCATTTGCCTACGGTTGTATATTTGCCTCAGGCAACTCTGCCTCAGCACGCTTTCTCAAGTGAGTTCTAAGATTTTCTGTTTTGCCTGATTTTGTAGTACTTATGGTGCTAATTTGATAGTAATTTCCAGCTCCGGCAACAGCGAAAAATGGGCTTCAAGTACATCATCCTGTTCCTGCTCTATCAGGTAATTCCGTCTGATTTAGGCAATTCTTTCCACAACTTTTTATTTTAATTTGATTTAAAAATTTATTCTTTGGGGTATTTTGTGCCTTTGCATCTACTGTGTGTATGTGTGTCTCAAAAAATGCTTTCCTTTTTGTCATGGTTCGGTGTTTGATTCATTGTGGTATGGAAGCTACTATTCTATTTAATCTATATCTACCTCACCTTAGTGTGGATTTTCCTGTTTAATAATATATATTGGTTGTCTGATGCTGGGCCATGGAACATGGTTTGTAGCTTATAAGCTGAGTTCCATCTTTACAAAGAGCGATAAAAGTCCATCAACATGACTTTCTTCTCAATAAATGCAAAACATTTATGCATGAACAACTGAGTCAAGGATTCCTTTGCCTGCCATTTGCACTAAATCTCAGACAATTACGCGGTTTCATCAGATTAAATAAGCGAATCAAATTTGTTTTGGTCGTCGTGGAATAATTAGTTCACCTTTAACGAATGGGATTATAGCACACGATATTTTGCAGATGCTAATAATCTATTGGCTGAAATTCCCATTGTATCAGTAAGTTCCAATGAATTTAGAACATTTAACTCGTTACCTATATATGTCCTGTTTCTTCTGTTGGCTCCATATTTTAAGATTTAAATATCTGTATTGTCCATATCCAGCATTATCGTGGATTCATTTGTTTTTTTATTTTTTGTTGCAGCGCAATCTGCCCCCATGAATGCTTCGGGTGGTTGTCAGATGGAGTTTGAAGCTAAATCTGCTAGAGATGGTGCATGGTTTGTCTTTTTGGACACATCTTTAATAATTTACTAGTATAGAGCCCGTGCGATGCACGGTGTGTACAGTTTTAAGGTCATTTATCGAGTCTTATAATTATATAAATGAATTAAAAAAAATGTACGGGATATATAAAGTACGTGACCTGTAATAGGCCAAAATGTGAACACGGGTGATGCACGGGGTGCACAATTTTAATGTCATTTATTAGTACAGAGCCCGTGCGATGCACGGGGTGCACAATTTTCTAGTATGTGTAATAAAAATACATACCGTATGCACAGGACAGAAGCACTAAATGAGTCATTTCCACAGAGCTTGCCCGTTAAGTAGCTCCTGAACACGGGTGCACAATTTGTAGTACGTACCATAAAATCAGAATAGATTTCCATACAATTAGATAATAAATAAAGCCTTTTTTATTTTATTAAAGATTTTACGTACTTTGTTTTTTTTTTACGTATCGGATGTTATGAGATTTTTATTGTTAAACTGATTTTATGGAATATAATATAAATACAATTAGAGGATTGAACAAAATCATAACAGATTTTCATACAATTAGATAATAAAAAGGAATTGGATAAGAAAAAGAAGGAATTAGATAAGAAAAAGAAGGAATTAGATAAAGAATTTTGAATCTGACTTTTTTTTTAAGTATAAATAGACTTTACGTACAAATTTTGACTTCACTGATTTTATGGAATTTGTTTTGACAAAGTCAATGTTAATATGGAATAAATAAAGTCTTTTTATTTTAGTAAAGATTTTACGTCTTTTTTTTTACTTGTCAGATGTTATGAGATTTTTTTTGCTTAAACTAATTTTATGGGATATAAGATAAATAAATAAAATAATTAAATAAAATTCTGGAGAGAAATAACAATGCATAATTACGTTGACTTTTCAATCTACTAAATTTGGTAAAAAGGATACCTTATAAAATAAGTATAGATATACAAATAAATAACATGCCAAAATTTTAAACAATAATTAATGTATTTTAATTTATTATCTAGCCATCAGTAATATCATTTAATGATGTGATCACTATCTCTTAAATGATAAATAAAATATTGATTTAAAAAAAATATTTGTTTTTCATATACTCAAATAAAAATTAAAAAATACTATCGTCAAATATGAATTATAATATATATAAGTAAAATTATTGCACAAGTTAATAAAATTATTTAAGGAAAAAATCTTTTTGATCATATTTGAATAGGAAAGGTGTATATGCAAACAATTAATGCACATAGTAAAAAATTTCCAATAAAGTATGCATTAAATGTGAGTTGACTTTTCTTACTACTATTTTTGGTAAATAGAATGGCTTTTAATATAAGTATAGATTCCATACATTTAACGTTATACCTTATTGAGATGGTGCATGGTTTGTCTGCTAGAGATGGTGCATGGTTTGTCTTTTTGGACACATCTATAAGAAAATACTAGTTTGAAGCTAAATCTGCTAGAGATGGTGCATAGTTTGTCTTTTTGGACACATCTCTAAGAAAATACTAGTTATACCTTATTAAGCAAAACAAAAGCCTTGCCTAACTGTTTTTTTTTTTTTTTTTTCAAGGTACGATGTCACTTATTTCCTGTCGTGTAGATCATCAGGGACTGGAGATCCGGTAATCATTGAACCTTATTGTTGATGAACAATTCCCTCCTTCACAATTAAGAGAGAGGCGTTACAAATATGCATTTATATTTTTATCCACAGATACTTATGATCGATTTGGATTACTGAAATTATGGATTGGTTATCAAAATGTTGAACTCCTATTAAGCAATACAAAAACTTATTATGCATTGAGAATGAACATGTGATCGTAACAAACTAAACTAAACCCAACTTACAGGAAGTTCTGGTTCGTTTTGCCGGTTTCGGACCTGAAGAGGATGAATGGATCAACGTACGGAAGCACGTGAGACAACGTTCCTTACCATGCGAATCTTCAGAATGTGTTGCGGTTCTCCCAGGAGATTTAGCACTATGCTTTCAGGTTTTTCCGATTTTTCGTTCTCTCTCTTTCTTTTTTTATTTCTTCTTCTAACTTAAATTCTTTCAGTTAGTATTGTGAGATCTATAATCTATTCATCTTTTTTAACTTTTTTTTTTTCTAGGAAGGGAAAGAGCAAGCCCTGTATTTTGATGCACATATTCTCAACACAGAAAGGCGAAGGCATGATGTTAGGGGCTGTCGATGTAGGTTTGTGGTGCGATACGATCATGATCAAGCTGAGGTACATTTTTTATTCCTCACCATTTTTCTCCTGAAGAAAAAAAA